TAATAATAATAATAATAATAATAATAATAATAATAATAATAATAATAATAAACAATAGCATTTATATAGTGTTTTAAGGTTTAGAAAGGCATTTACAAGGATCTTAATTGAGCTTCACAACAACCCTGGGAGATAAGTCCTATTATTATCCCAATTTTAGAGATGAAGAAACTGAGGTAGAGAAAAATTAAAAACTTAGCTAAGCTAAGTCACTCCTATTCACACAACTAAATGTCTGGGGCTGAATTCAAACTCAGGTGTTCCTGCTAAAGAAGTCCAGCACTTCATCCACTGTACTACCAGTTGCCTCTATATCTTAATGGCTTTTCTATTTGTCTCAGGAGTTTCTGTTACCTTGATGCTTGACTACTAGGTTTAAAGTATCATTTTGGCTTGCTTATACAGTAAGAGAGATGATGTTTCAGATTGCTCAGAGTGGAAAAGTTCTTTTAGAAAAAAATTAACACATAGAGCTGGTTTCGCTAGCTTGGAAATGATAAAGAGCAAGGATATTAGGGTTTGGATGTATAATCTTTTACAAATAATCTGTTATTTTCACTCAATATACACATGATCACATGTAGAGATTTTAAATTTACTGAATGCTTTACATAAATTACTTCACTTGAGAACAAATTATGCTAGTAAATGTTTAACAAACAGCTCCCCCACCAAATGCATGACACACTTTTTAATTTAATTTACATTGTTAACATTTTCCCCATCACTTTCATAAGTCTAAATGATTTTTTAAAACCCACAATAAATTAAACCCTGATTTGTAGCATTTGCTAATTACTGAGTAAATGCTCACACCAAAAATTTAACCATTTCTTCTCAATAGTCTGTATGAGCCAGCTCCAGCACACACCTGCTTAAGGACTAATCACAACCTTGTGAAGTAGCTTCTAGCAGTTCGAGATCTAAGATCTACCTTATGATCGTATATCTAGAGGTGAAAAGGACCTTAGGGAAACATCTAATCCAACTCCCTCATTTTACAGATGACAAAACTGAGGTCCGGAGAAGTCACTGACTTGTCTAACGTCATACATAAGGTAAATGTTAGAGGTGAGGTTTGAACCCTGGTCCTCTCTCTCCAGAGGACTTTCATGCATACCACTGTTCTACTGCTCTGTTTTTATGTTTAAAATATAACAGCACATTTTAAAAGAAAGTTTACTTTCTTGAACTTTCTTAAATTAAGTATCAAATCTAGAAATTTCTCAACTAAGCTTGTTAAAATTGATCCTTCAACAATTATTAAATGATTACTCTGTGGCAAACACTGCTGAGGAAGATACAGAGTTTAATTAAGGCACTGCACTGTTCTGAAAGGGCTTACATTCTGTTTGGGGGATAGGGCACTTACTGAAATGACTATATTACAAAGTATACACTTGATCTTTTCTCATTCTACAGGTAAGGAAACTGAAGCTCTTCAAGAATGAAGGATGACCACCAAAAGGCCTCTTCTGGTCCCCTGAGGTATAAGTGACTTTCCCTCTGAGATTTCCTCCCATTTATTCTGCTACATTTTACATATTTGCATATTTTGAATATGTATTTGTATATTTTGCATGTTGCCTTCCTCATTAGAATATGAATTCCTTGAAGGGAGCATCTGTTTTTGCCTTCCCCAGTGTTTAACATAGTGCCTGTTTCTTAATAAGTGCTTGGGCTTGATATCTGCATTTTTGGAAGGTGCATCCAAAATAGGAGTTTCTCACGCTGATCAAATCATAGTTGCCTATATATATCACGTAAGAGAAGTATCATAACATATAGTTGGCCTTGAAGCTAGAAAGATCTCGGTTTAAGTCCATATAAGACTATAAGTTGCAGAGATGGTGCCAAACTGCAATGGTAGAGTCAGTTTCCAAACTTAGGAGTTCCCATCATTGACATCCTCCATATGGACACCACCAAAAGAGCCAGGATGCTTTTCTCTATTGATGACCGAGGCAATTTAATCTAAGTTAGCACCACTAGTTACCATATAGAGGTTACCAGTAATAAACTTCAAGTCTGTAATCTTGTTTGTAATCTAAATGTATCTGGATCGTGTCATTCACTTTCAGAGGATCTGAAAAGCATGAGCATTGTGAGTCTCTATATGGGTGCTGTCTTTTGCACTGGCAAAGATCTTTCTCCCTTCATATAATTTATACTTTGTCTCTTCAGATGTGATCTATGAATAGCGATGGAGTCCTCTACGTCATACACAGAAGATGGAAATGTTCTCCTGTCTTCTCAGCGTTCCTGAGAGCCATAAAACCTACATGGCAGGTAAGTGCTATAGTAGTTAGAATGCTGGATTTGGAGTCAGGAAGACCTGAGTTTGAATTCTGCCTCAGACACTTCCTACCTGTGTGACTCTAGGCAAGTAACAATTTCTTTCATTCTCAGTTTCTACATGTGTAAAATGGAGATAATAGGGCTGTTGTATGGATCAGATAAGATATGTAAAATGCTTTGCAAACCTTAAAGTGTTCTATAAATGTTAGTTATTTAATATCAGTGCAGACCTTAGCTTCAACTTTTACAAGGGTACACTTGAGTTTATTCCTAAGGAAGATGATAAGCAGGAAGTATTCTCCCTACTTGTACGGCAGTCCACAGAAAATCCTGGAGCCAAAACTCCTGTTAATTTATCTAGTACCCAGTACTTTGGTGATGCTACAAACTGCAGATGTACCACAAACAATATAGAGAGATAGGTAAGATTCTCATAGCTAAGGAAGAGGGAGATTAACAGCCCAGGTAGGGATAACAGAATGACAGTCATCAAAATAAGTCCTCATTGCCTTTGACCTCTTTGAAGCCTTAGACAAAATTGATGATTTACCTGTAGCTTTCCTGGCACTGCATTATCCCAATTTGATGCCTACCTTGGAACCATTCATCGTTTTTCTCTTGTTCTCTAAATGGAGGAATTTTCCAAGATTCTATCCTTAGTTTTCTTGTCTTCACCCTGTTTCCTCCCTCCCTTCTCTCCCTCTACACACACACACACACACACACACACACACACACTCATGGTACAGTGGATGGAGCATTAAATATTTTCTAGCTTTCTAACCCTGGGCAAGTCAAGTAATCTCTATCTCACTTTCCTCATTTGTAAAGTGGGGACAATAACAATACCTACCTCCTAGGGTTGTTGTGAAGATAAAATGTAATAGTATTTTTAAAGTGTTTTGCAAATTTTAAAGTGCTATATAAATGCTAGCTATTACTACTAGAAATTGTATTAATTTCCATAGCTTCAGCTAACACCTCTATGGGGATGACTCTAATCTGTATCCTTAGCTCAATATCCATATTTCCAATTACAGACTTTTCTATCTGAATATCCTACTTGAACTAATTTTTCCTCCCAAACCAGCTTTTCTCCTGTCTTTGTTATTTCTGTGAATGGCACCTTCATTATCTGAATGACTTGAAACCAGGGAATCCTTTTTGAATTCACCTTCACTCTTGCCTCTAATATCTAATCAGTTGATTGTTAAATAGATTTTTCCTTTGCTATATCCTTTATATCTATCCCTCCTTTGTACTTACATGGTACCTACTTGAATTTGTATCCTTAATACTTCAAAGAACTATTATAATATTATAATAATGTAATACTAATTATATTATTAATCATTTTAATTGTTACTTAACATTAAATTAATTATATTGATTGTATTAATAATATATTATTAATGGTTCTTTTAAAAATATCACTTTATTTTCCCAATAACCCCTCCCTTCTCTTGCCCTGGCCTCCCCTGCATACTTTGCAATGAGGAAAAACAATTAAACCAAACAAACTACGACACTATCTAGCTGGCCATGACTTATTCTGTACCTGTAGTCCCACCACCTTTGTACAGAGAAAAGGTAGGTAGGTATATTCATCAGTCCTGGGGAGTCAAGCATGTCATTGCAGCAATATGGGTTCTTAGATTTTCAATGTTATTTTCCTTGACATTATTGTTCTAGCTGTGTTTACTGTTCACTTAGTTTTGCTTACTTCACTCTGCATCAGGTCATACAAATCTTTCCACATGTCTCTAAATTTTTTACATTAGTTTCTTATGATAAAATAATTCATTTCATTCATATATCACAATTTGTTCAGCAATTCCCCAGCAATGAGCACCCACTTTATTTCTAGTTTTTGGATACCACAGAAAAGTGCTTCTTTAAATATTTTCATATATGTAGGACAACAATAGTTCTTCATGCCTGAATCTTTCTTCCTTCAATTCATTTAGTCTTGTAGCATTACTCTGAGATCACGACATTCTTCTTGTTTATAAGTCTTTACTGGATTCCCAAAGCTTACTGAATAAGAATCTTAAGTCTTCAATTTGGCATTCAAGGACCCCCACTATCTTTCCCCAAATTACCTTTTCTAGACCCAGTGTCCACTAGCCTGAAGTTAGGTAAAAAAATGGTTGGAAAGATTTAAATTCAAATCCTTCCTCAGATACTTATTACCTGTGTGATCCTGAGCAAGTTACTTAACACTTCTCAACCTCATTTTCCTCACATGTAAAGAGATAAGAATAGCACATACTTCTGAGGGTTATTGTGAGGATCAAATCAATATTTGTCAAGCACTTTTCAGAACACAAAGTGCTATATAAATGTCATCCATGATGATGTATTATAATTATTTTGTTGAGTTGTTTCAGTGGGTCCAACTCTCCATGATCCCATTTGGGGGTCTCTTGGCAAGGATGCTGGAGTGGTTTGCCATTGCCTTCTCCAGCTCATTTTCCAGATGAGGAAATGAGGCAAACAAGTGACTGCCCAGGGTCCCAGAGCTAGTAAATGTCTGAGGCCAGATTTGAACTCAGGTCCTCCTGACTTCAGGGCTGGCACTCTATCCATGGCACCATCTAGCTGCCATTGCTGTTG